GATGGGCGGGTCTTTGGAAGGATTTATGGGAAAAAAAAAAAAAAAAAATCTATTATGTAAATATATTTTCAAAAAACTGTTCAGAATATTTTAAAATATGGTGAATATGGATATGGGGATGATCATTCAGATCATTATCAGATACAAGTTTTCTATGTTTCATTTTTCATTTTATGGTAGCAAGATGTTTAATTATTGCCAACATTGATGTATCAGTTTCCTGTGCCCCACCATACTAAAGTTTAATTGTGGTTGGCCTTTCCACGTACAGCCATTTTTCAATAAGCGTTAACGCCAGGGCTAAATAGTAACAGTCACCTTTTTGGAGTTTTTCAGTGAGCGTTAGCTCTTGTGCCATTAGGTTTTGGCAACCTTTTTGTGGTTACCTTTTTGTAAATTTACAGTGACCATTTACGCTGGGGCGGTATAGATACTTGCGCCTTTTTGGAGATTTACAGCGACCATTAACGCTAGGGCTGTATAGATACAATAACATTTTTAGAGTCTTTCAGTAAGCTTTAACTCTATGGTGTATATATGGTATATATGGTGACACTTTTTCGGAGTTTTAAGACTATAAATGTTTGGGCTTTCTGCACGATTAGTGTTTTAGGGCTTATGAACATTAAGGATCTTAATTTTAGTTTTTGGGCCATCTATATAGTTACAGATAGCAGTATGACTTTCCAGTTAGGACAATGGCCTCCTTAGTAGAAATGGGACCCCTTTCCCAGTCCCATCTTGCCTTCCCAAGTCGTGGAATAATAAAATAATACAAATCTGAAACCTCTTCCTTTTCATACGCCATAATGCCTCAGGGTATAGAGGCAGGCTGGTATTTGCTGTTCTATATGAGGAAAACTATCTGATTGTACCATCATCTTTAGATCTACCATCAACCATGTAGCATAAGGGCTTGCCTAAATTTGTCTTCCTATTACATAGTTTTGGTAAAGCTAAATGAGATTGCACAGACATGGTACAATCAAATTGCATAGTGTATGGCCAGCTTTAGAAGACAGCAGTGTCTGCAAATGAGGGGACATTGACAACTAGGATTGACTGTAGAGAAATGACAAATATCTGCCTCCTTAGCATGCAATCTAATTGTGAACTTGCTCTGATTCTACATCTGCAGGAGGTTTTCCGTCCAGAGGTGTGCAAGATGCCACTTAGGAATCTCTGCCTCAGAGATGGTCATGAGAGCAAGGGACTTGGTGTACCACCTCAACTGTTTCACCTGCAACACTTGCAACAAAATGTTGACCACTGGAGACCATTTTGGCATGAAGGACAACTTGGTCTACTGCAGGCTCCACTTTGAGACTCTGATCCAAGGAGAGTACCAAGTCCATTTCAATCACTCGGATGTGACATCAGGGAAGGGTTCGGGACTGGGGTCTGGGACTACCTCTGTAGGGCTGCCTTATTATAACGGTGTGGGGACTGTGCAGAAAGGGAGGCCAAGGAAAAGGAAGAGCCCGGGGCCCGGCGCAGACTTGGCAGCCTACAACGCAGGTAAGCAAAGCAGCAAGGCTCGTTCATTTCTAATGCAATGTTTTCCTCTTGATTACACAAAACAGCTTCCATTTATTAAATCTCAACTGATAATAATAGCCTAGCTGGGTATAATTATTTGCATCAAGTGCTGTCAAGCTGGTAATTGCAGGAGCTAGAATCTTAGCATTTTTTCACTTCAGGTAGAAAAACAATGAATGGAAATCAGGTAGAAGAAATGAGGGGGCTAGTCACTGGCAGATGTCTTGTTAGCAGCAGGGATCATTGACCTATGGGGGCTGCTGGGCATTAATGAGGTAGCTCCATCTGATGAGGAACTACAGGTCCCAACAATCCCGCCAACAATCTATTGTCTGTCTTCATGCAGATGTATTTGCCATCTATCGACTAGTCTATTGGGCTGCTTTACTGAAGGAGTTGAGAATCTTCATTCACAAATAGTGTGAATATTCGTTAATTATTCTGCACATATTTAACGTGAAAAGGAATTTGCTGTATCTATCATTTATTAATCTATATGTTTATAATCTATTATCGATGTGTTAGATAATAATTAAATGGATAATAGGCAGATAGATCATTATTATTATTATTATTATTATTATTATTATTATTATTATTATTATTATTATTATTATTATTATCATTATCATTATCTATAATTTATCTATCTATAATCTACTATCTATTAATAATCTATCAATCAAGTATTATCTATCTATCTATCTATCTATCTATCTATCTATCTATCTATCTATCTATCTATCTATCTATCTATCTATCTATCTATCTAATCTATCGGTCTGCCCAGCGATCGGACCGGGTAGGGGTTAAGCAGGTGTTCAAGGTGACAGCACTGAGTAGAGTGTTTGTTAATCGCAGGTGATTTGCAGAAAGCTCATGTAAGTAAGTCGTGCGGCTCCTGCATCAGGTTTCAGTCTGCACAGAAGCATTCCATAAATAACAAAAATAGGCTGTGACTGCGGCTACCCTGACAGTATTTGCTTTAATAATTACCATCAGTACCACAATTCTAGCGTCTGCTTTATAGATCACCTAGGTTCACCCCATAAAATGGCAACTCTCTTATTTCAAGAGGGAGAATTCATTTGGTTTTATCCCACCCCTTCCTGCCACCATATTTTTTTCTAAAGGAGACCTATGCCTCCTAATTCTGTTATTATACATGCGAATAGCTCATGTGTTCATAGACAAAGATTTCGGATACATTTCGATATGGGAGATGTTTGTGTATTAAATAGACAATAAAATGTGATACACTGCATTTGTACAATCTATTATTAAATGCAGAATAAAAAGAGGTCAAGGAATTATGTGGGCACAATGTAGGCAAAGTATCACAAGGTGCAGAAGATAATTTTACTGTGTGACAGTTTAAAAAACAAACAAACTTCCAATTACATCGGCGCTAATCACAACGAATCTAGATATTATTGTTCACAATGATGATGAGTTTTATACTTTGTTATATTACGACACTTCGATATAATTGCTGGGTTAACGTAATTATGGCTACAGTAACAAGGTCCTTTAGTTACTGAGGTGCAATAAAAATATTACATTTTAATTTAGAGTTTAGTATTTATGTAGAAGGTTTAATTTCCGTTGAATATGGAGGTGTATGTATAAATGTGGATATGTGTGTGTGTGTGTGAGAGAGAGTGAGAGTGTGTGTGTGTGTATATATATATATGAGTAGGTGGGTGGGGGGTAATTATAGTGTATTGATCAGGTTATTTCAGAACAGTCTGATATCATAAATATGTAATTTAATATTAATTCACTTTTTTTTTTACTGTTGTGACGGTGAGTAGAGAATTTTGCAAATCATTTTATTATAAATGCTGGATTTGTGGGTTCATAAAACAGTTTACTTAAGCCCCAGCTTAAGCTCCAACTGCGTTACTGTCGAAGGAGGCAACGTTAGGTTTTTCCAAACGCAAAATGCTGACTTACTTCTTCCAGGAAGTCATATCTCCAGGGGTGAGAGACGATCAAAAACTACATTTCTGGTCCAGTTGGCACCAAATGGGTTAACAATTAACCATTTAGAAACGCAGCACTCTCCCTGTTAATCCTGTTTAGTCCTCTGTTCATTGTATACTGGGGTAAAGGGTCCATTGTGGCCCAGAAATTGCTCAGGGTCTGGAAGCTTCAGCTGGGGTAGTTTGGATGTGGATGGATCCTGACAGGCAGAAAATAGCTCAGAAGGGAACTGAACTTCAAAAAGCCCCCCCCCCCTCCTCCCTCTTTCTTTCCTTCTCCTTTAAGTGACTATGTGGTGATGATTTCTCCCATGTCTTGTGTAGGATGGGAATTGGAAGAGTAGTGATTGGGGCAGTGTGACACCCAGGAACACCTGTGATGTGTACACGGATTATGTTCCCATATGCCTTCCCACAACTATAAGGAACTAGCAAAACGGAGGCTGTGTCCTACACCGCCTCATAAGTTAACTTGTTATGACATCCCTGTGAACTAACGTTGAAGTCGGATCGGTTGCCATGGGCAACAACTCTACTTATCCAGTTTAGATTCATCAGCCTTATTTTGAACTCTGTTACTGCAAAGTGCCCTAAGGGGTGTGTGTAACATGGAAGGGTCTCTTTTATTTTGGGAATCCACTCTCTTTCTACCAATATCTATATTTCTATATTAGTGGACGTGTAAAAAATGATGTCCATCTCATCATCAATCACTCCCTAACCCCAGTTTTGCACGTGGGGTGTAACGTGTAAGTAGCTGATCAGTTTGGAAGACCATCATGTTATAAGGCTTGTTTGACTTACTATTGAGTTAAAAGGAACTCCGACTGTCCGTATTGACACAGGAATTATAGTTCGATAATAGACAGACTTATACCCTCTGGAGTCTAGTTTGTAGGGCCACTGAAGCCGAATACCTATATAAGGACTTAATTCCCAGGAAAATAAAAGAAAGTATAGTGAATGCATGGTGAAAGTTTATTGTGACTGTCCTCTGTATTGTGCTGGATTTAGCTCTCACTCACTATTGTGAACTGGCCTTTTCTTGAAGACAATGGTGAAGTTAATGCGATAGGAAATGAGGTTTCTAAGTACTTGGTGCCCCCATTTTGGAATCATTTAAGAAAAGGAAAATTTGGAACGCAAACTGTGCAATCAAAAGAAGTTAGACATTTTTTAATTAATTCCAAACCAACTAAAAGTCAGATATATTCCTTCCAGGTACTGTATTAAAGCAATTCATTATATAATATGTATTGTCAAGTAGCATTCGAACTCGCCATGTATTTAGGTAATGAAACGTATTTAGTCAATTAAATGAAGATAAAATTGTTTCCGGTGTTAAGGAAATATTTTCTAGGATGAGAAAAGTATAAAACGTAATATTTCTACCTTTCCTCCATAAGAGATATTTATGTTGAATAAAAACTTTAACGAAAATTTAAAATACTTTGAAACATCAGTGACATGAAATAGGGGAGCTTAAATGATGTAAACACACAAATAAGATTTCCCTGAAATATGACGGGTAATAAATATTTTTACTTATCTGTCGATTTGGTGCTAAAGCCAATTATGGTTCATTAAAAAGTACAAACGAACTCCAATGCTTCTATCTTGACATATTTTCTTCTTTATCCGACGTCTCTGTATTAATCCCATTCTCTACTATACACACTTACTTTGAATGGTATACCTAAACAGAAATATAAAACTGTGCTAAAACGGATTTTTAAATGCTAGGACTAAATATTGTGGTTTAATCTGACACAAAGATGCGAGACTTCTGGGAAAGCCAACACTTCAGCCTTGCGTGCTATACGCATTTCATCCCCTATTCCCACTGAAAATCGATAATTACCCAAGGATTATTCAAATAGGAAATCTTATACACTATAATTATATTACAGCAGAGGGACCCATTTACAGATGTAAAAAAATCACGACTCACAGACCTTTCTTTAGAAGAAGAAAATAAAGAAGGCACCAATGCAGCCCGTGAAAAGACAGTTTTTCAAAACAGAATATGTTTGATCATTGCATCACAATAATCATTGTAAATAATAATTCAGCTTTTAAGTAAATGTATACTTTGTTTATATAATACATATAAAATAACAATATTTGTGATGCTCCTTATTTCAAAAGTATTAAGTAGAAAAGACGACAGATTCTGTAGCTGCATAAAATTATTCCGTTTCACTTTTTTTCTATTAATTATAAATGTGTAGAAATAAAAACAAAAACAAAACGTTTCAGCGTTTGTCCTTTAAAAGCAACTTGAATTGACAATTGTTAAAAAAAAAAGAAAGCTTTCCTGAATTAGATTACAATTGCAGCTCTCTTGCTCCCCCTAAAGACGATTCGGAGAGGGTGCACGAGACAATTCTTATTTCAATGTCCACGGGGGCCGATTTACTAAGGTTCTAATCTCGCGCAATTTGTAAATCCACTTTAGCACATCGCAACCCAAAGAGTGCTGTGTATAAAAACACAGAACAGACATTTCCGATAAAAGCTGATCAGCCAGTCTTTATCTGATGGCAATCGCAAAATATTAGTCATGCTTTGCATGAAAATCAGTACACTGACTTTTAAACAACAGCTAACTAAAATGTAGGGGACATAAATGTACCAAAAAGTAGAATTAACACTCAGAAGGCTCAGTTCAGGAAGCTAAAACACCAGGATGAGTATCCTTATTTTTAAAAAAGTGACAGTTATTTTCTACTGGGTCCAATGAAATTTGAAGATTACAGTCACATGGCTGAAATAAAGATCCTTTTCCTCCTGGATAGCTTCATGAGTTTAGCCTATAGACTGTATATAAAACATATAAAAAAGATATTTCTATGTATTAAAAAGAATTGAAGTATTATTAGAAGGCATGGTTAGGTGACATTCTTTATTTTTAATATTTGATCTTATATGATATTTGAAAAATAATTTGAACAAAGCTAAAAACAAAATATACAATATAAACTTGTAACATTA